TTCTCGGTTGAATGTGGCAACTGCAAATGGCATATCGAAAGGGATTAGTTGCTGTTTTTTGCGTTCCTCGATAACAAAATTGTTCGTGCGAAGGGTAGATTGGGGAAAGGGATTTAGACGGGTGCAATATTCGCCCAAAAAAAAGTGCAAAAATTAGCTAGATGTTACAAATCTTTTCTAGAAGGACGCGAAAAGTATTAATATTTACTGTGGCAGTGCATATACCAAGCATTAAAATTCAGGAGCGTTAATTTTTTCCCCAATTATTTTCATAAAAGCTAAATGGACCGTCATAGATTTGAAATATGAAATTTTTGGATCGGATGCCAGAAATTCTTTAAGTTCGTTTATGAAAACTTTTAGGTACCTTTCTTTCGAAGCAGTCACTTCGCAGTATACAGCATGCTGACGAACCATTTTTATGATTCGAGAAGCACTACCAAGCTGAATGCATTCTTTGCAACACTGAATCGTCTTGTGATTGTGTGCGATCCGCCGTTTGGTGTTTTCATGAAACCTCTGAAGAATTCATTGAATAAGCTGTGCAAACAGTTTTTTATTACAGGGGAAAGCTATGTAAGGTAAGTATTCCCAGTAATCATTTGAAGCCAAAACTCCTTCCGAATTCGCTTCCCGTAACAGCCGGAAGCACTTAGAAATAGTCCGAGGGGCAGTACATGCTAGCAGCAATCATAGGCTGACAAGGCTTTGAGCAGAATGGAGAGCAGCTAAGTTGTGGTATCGAAATGGTCGCGGAAATTGTGAATTACAATTCAGCGTGTACCTCATGGCATTCCCCGTATAAGCTCCTGCAATTTGTCCTGGATACAAAATAATCCAAAATAAGCTATCATTTCCTAGACATTAATCCTTTAAATACCTCCTCGTTATTTTTAAGAAAATTTTTTTATACGAGGAAAAAATTTGAAATTCTAGCCAAAAATCCTCTTTTGATATTTGTTTAGAAGAAAGGTGACAACGATCTGGATTTTCTGATACAAGCCACTCTCAAGTTATTGTTAAAACAGACGAACTGCGGAGGAATTCTTTGTTCTAAGGAATGTGCAGCTGAAATAGATTTCGTTCTATCTCTTTCGATTTTCAGCAAACATTGGTGCAAAAGTATTATCGTTCTACCTGTTTTTGTTGGAAGACGTTTTTTGGCAAAAACCGGTTTTTCTATGTTGGACTATAAGGTTTTTTATTTATATCGCCTTTTCGATAAAGTTATTTCCGAATTCCGGAGTATCCTCGAACTTTTATGGGGCAGTCTGCGCAACAGCGGAATTAGATGTGAGATTAGGGTGTTCAATAATTTGAGCTTTTTACACTTTGTTTGGGATTTTTCGAATCGTTAGGTAATTTTCAAAATTTTTTCGCGAATTTTAGGTTTGTTATGTGAATCATGTGAAGTATAAACGACCGGATAAGTCAGTTGTTCGTTTTTTCACTGATCTTCCACTGGATGTGTTCGATTTGTCAGAATTTTCTAACTACAGGTTCCCCATTATCGTTTCTTCCTCGGTTGAAAGTCAGTCTTCAGCTTAGACGGTATCAGCTTATTACTTTCCACCCAGTGGTATAGCAGAGACGGTATCAGCTTGTGTTATATCCAGTGATAACGAAATTACTTATAGCTTTAGACCGGCGGCGTAAGAAGACGCCGCGCTGCAGTTTTTCAGCTTAGATGAGCTGCAACTTTGAGAACCGAAGCAAATGATGATAAAGGCCGTGCAGCTATTGTTTGAGTAGGACTAGAAATAAAACTGTAGAAGGCGGACATGCACGTGGACCGGTAGAGACCAGTTCTTCAGTGGTATTTTATGTGATTGTCAGGA